CAGTGAATTTCTGTATAATATAATTATTCCTAGAAATTATCCCTCCTTTCTTGAACTCTATAGCACTTTAATGATAGTGTAATGATGCTATGACTTAATGCAATGCTTACAGCATTGCAAAAAGTAATCAAAACCAATTTTTTATATTCTCAAATGCAAGATTTGGATCAGCCACTAATGTAAACTGCATAAGCACTTTTTACCCTGTCTTCACCCAGCACTTACACTAGAAAGTTTTAATTCCCTCTATTTAGCTCTTCTTTTCAAAAGCACATGTATATGCAGAGACCAACGCTACCACCCATCATTTCCTTATACTGGAATCTCATCCTCTTGAGGTAGTTTCTATTGTTTTTCACCAAAAAAATATTACTTGTATTTCTTTTAATTCCATATCCTTGCTATTTTTATTTCCTGATGATAGCAGGAAAAACTTATGTGCAGAAGTGGAAAAGGGAGCTTTAAACCACAAAAAAAAAAACAAACCTCAGAACGAGCAATAGCCCTTACAATCTTCTCCTGAGTCCCGTTTTCCTGAAAAGAGTTGTCTGTATAGACCAAGACATCATTGCACGTCTCTACCAACGTGCCAGAATGACTGAGAGATTTCTGATCTGAGAGAAGAACAATTCGCATCATGTCTGTTCTGCTTTTGGCTTTGCTGCCTATTAACAAAACAATGATGTAATTTGTTCATGAGATACTACAGTAAGCAAAAATGTCTGCTGATAGCTGAACCTGCGAGATCTTGGTTTTCCATATTTCTCCCGATTGCTGGGAAACTATTGCTAACATCATTCTTTCCAAAAGAGACAGTAATCTTTTTGAAGTTGTAGGTATATAGAAAAGGTTATTTTGTCTGGTTTTGGTTTTGCACATACATCAATAACGTATTCTTACCTGGCTCAATATCCAGGGAATAGCTGTCAATCTCCAAATTGAGGCGTTGGGCTGCAGCCTCACAGAAATCTTCCAAAACACAGTGTACCGCTTCTGTGATATTGTATGGCACTGTTCTGGCAAATTTCATTTTACTATTGACAATTACACTTCCATTCCTGAAGTTAAGTATTTCAAGTTGTTTAAAACCTGTAAGGTTGGACTGAAGGTACGGAAGTAACTGCAAAACAGAAAGTTGTTTTAACTTACTGTTAATGCCTAGCTGCTATTACTTTCTCTTATAGTCACTTTTCATTATCGAGTACAGATACCGTGCACTTATTTCTCTGAATTTAATTTTAAGTGTTAAAACTCCACCACGAAATTCACTTTTCTGTTTATTGCTATATTCCGCTGGACCTTTGCACCTTTCTGAATGATGTATTGAGATGGATGGGCAGTAATTTCCCCAGTAATAAAGTGCACAGCAGTTGGGGAGTTTATTCATCTGGAAGAAAAAAATCACCTCTCTCAAAAGCCAACTTTAATTATTTTCAAATGTTCAATTCAGGTGGGTTAGAGCACAGCGTAGTAGGCGTGTTACTGAAGTGACCTGTTGCCCTACTGTACCCATGGAGAAAATCCATATCTAATCACATTCCCTTTGCTAAGCTATGATATATTTTTAAAGGCTTATTTTTAAATCTAGCATAAAGACAAGAGCCTTAGATGTAATCAGCATTACCATACTGTTGACACGAATATAAGAAAAAATCAAACTACATTACATGTCAGGCATGTATCCAGAGCCTCTTGAATAAGTAAACACTTTCATATGTCTCTTGATACATGAAAGCAACTTCATAAACTGCTTCTTCATACCCTTAGAGCATTCCAGGCTCGTGTGTCCTCCCACCCCTCAAGAAACCATTAAAAACACAGCTTATCAGACTGAACGGTAGTAGGGTCTGATACTACTAACATATTGTGCTTTTCAGTGTTTAGTTAGCTGACTAAGCCAATTGGAATGAAGCATAATTTTCCAGCCAAAATCTCAAGGTACAGTAGTCATAGAAGCTTATTGTTGCCCCTCCTGACTTACGGAGCAAAAATTAATGTAACTTATTGGTGGGGACTATGTATGTTGTTAAACTGTGCCTGACTACTGTGTATAATGTTCAAGTGTTTCAATGTTCAAGGTGTATAATGTTCAAGGATTTTCACCTACCAATTGCATGAACTGTTGTTCTAGTGCTTTGTATTCTGGAGAACTCCTATTGAAGAGGTCATCGGAAAAGTGCATGTTGGTTACCCGCAGGCTGAAGAAAACCACTAGCTCTTTGCCTTTGGCTGCAGTTGTCATAGAGCTGGTAGTTACATACTTCAGTGTAGGAGCTGGGGTGGTTTCTGCAGGCTGAGTTCTTAGCACGGAGAAATAGCCGCTGCCGTGCTCTACTTCATCCAGTGCTGCTGTGCTCATCTCACTGATGCCATCTAGCTCAGCAGCAATATCCTGCACTCCTGTCCCAGTGCCCATAGGAGCAATGCTGCCAGCTGCTCGTACTGAGGAATCTGTTACTTCAAGAGACTGATCGATGATAACAGACTGGCTGTGGGATGGGCTAGTCGCAGCAGGCAGCACTGCTGCTTGGCCTGATGGCAGCGCATCTGCAATAACATCTTCAGGCTGTGTGGCAGAGAGATCACCAATAAAGAAAGGCAACGTTTTTGTTTGAAGGTAAGTGCTGGCTGTAACCAAAATGTCATCGCCTGATGATTCCGGTTGATCCATGATCTTAACTGCTGCAGAAAAACAGGAGAAAAGCAAATAGCTATTTCAAAGAGCAGATCTATCAGACATCACGCAGGGGAACTACAGGTACATTGAATTTCCACTGAAGCATTTTTTTAAAAACAAGTACTAACATATTGAAACATGAACATGTTATTGCCATCACCTAGGAAGAATTACTGGAATAAAAACACCCAATCCATGTGTTTGAGTGACGAGATTTCTGTGGGTGCTATGTTTAAATAATAATTACACTTGGTAAGTATTTCCTGAGCTATTCCTAAATGCACTCTGGTTTTGAAGGTACATAATCACACTGTCAGTTTATATTGACTAAAAGAGTAGATTGCAGCTTTGAGTTGTCTGCTTGGATCAGTACAACGCCTGAATAATTTTGGTTCCTTCCTCCTCTGTGAGAGGTTATAGCTGCTACTAGTGAATAATCATAAAATGTGGTTATGCAACATGGTACAGCACCTTTGGAGGCAAACTGTGTCAATTCACCTAGAAGACAACAAGTGTCAACGAAAAAAAAGTCACACCATAAGAAAACATCGTTGCACTTAAAATTTGTGACATTTGACCCAGAAAGATACCAAACTTTTGTGAGATCCCCATTTGAGCTTGGCAGGTGTCTAGGAGGTATGATAAATGTAGTTGAAATTCCAATCTAGAGCGTGATGATTGAGGCTGTTTGAATTTGGCTGGCAGCTAACTAACTTCAACAGCTTCGCAGAAATGATGGCCTTTAAGTGATATCTGCCCAAACTGAAAACTTTCTACTTTTCCAACTTTCTGCTTTTTCATGTGGTCTCCTCGTGTGGGACTTTTAGCAGTACTTTGCAGGCAAAATCACTAACCCCAGCTAATAAAAAAGGAAAGTTTTTGTCCAATTGACAAACTTTTCTCCATCTCTAAACGTTAATCTCAGCTTAGAGGCAATAAAAGTTCTAAGATTTTTTTTTTTTTTTTTGCATCTGCAATAACCCAGACTGAAAGCAATAACAACTATTCTATCCATTTAATAGGAGTTATCCATTGATGTTCTTCATTTCCCTTTCTGCTTTCTTACTTCTAAAGCAATGTGGTCCAAAGTTCTGCTTATTGTATTACTGTTTTTAGGAACAAACAAACATTTCCAACAAAGAAAAGCTTAATGTAAAATAGCCGTCTACTTTCTTGACACCAGTAATTTAATGAAAGGAACTAGTTCCTGACTTCCTTACTGTGGAAGTGATGCCTTATTCAAAGGATTAATCTGTCTAATGTGGACTTTTTGTCTATATAGCCATTGTAAAAGCACTATTTTCGTGCTTCTGTTCTTTTCCTTATTGATGTGCCATATACTTGCACACACTGGCTAAAGCTAACACGTGTGTACGAATGCATAGTCATGTTCCCCTTCAGTTAAGTTGACCACACCTCTCAAAGCAGATATTTTCTTCCTCAATTGCTCTGAAACACCGCACATAGTTTTACTACAATTAGATCCTTAGAAACATCTTTTTTCCCATCCAGTTACCACTTTGCAAAAAAGTTTGCTAACATGTTACATTTTTCTTCCTTTAGTCATTTGTTTTCTTATATATGTTGATATAGTGATTTAGTGAGAGTAGTCTGTTTAGCTGAAACACATAGTAGACTGGTTAGTGATTAAACTATTGGAGTAGGATATGGGAGTTCTACTTTTTGGTTCTGCTTCAAACTTCCTAATGGATCTTGAGAATACACCTTTATGTGGTACTGATCTTAATTGTAGTAGCCATTTAAAAGTTAGCTGCGTCCTCTAAACCAGTCACCTTTGCTCTCTTTTTAGACAATGGAGAGACATTCACCTCAGATGAAGATAACCATGGTAATTTATGCCGGATCTTTGGAAGTGCCTGTATCGCTCTGTGGACCTCAGAGTGCATACAACTCATTTGTGTAAGATGCCCAATTTTCACCTTACATAGTTTTTGTTATCTAAATTATAATCTCTTCAGCACCTTGTAGCATCTTTGAGCCTCACTAATTTCTTAGTGAGATGGTCAAATTTTAGAGCCATAACGATCATGAGAGTTTCTTGAGAAGCAAAACACCTTACATTGTGTTATAGTTTGACACTACCAGCAGGCCAGTGTAGTTCTTCTGGTATTGTTGAAGGTTAATGAGTTTTGGTCTAGAATACCACTAAAAAGCCATTATATGTCAAGTGTTCCTCTTCCCACTCAGTTCTACGTTATTTCGGTTTGTTATCGATGTTGTATATGCTTTGGGTTAAGGGATGAACTCACTTTTTATGTCTGTTCTGCAGGAAAGTGAACTTCTAGAAACAATTTCCAAAAAAAGAAAAATGGACACTCCGAAGCGGAACTCATCAGATAAGGCAGCCTTGTAAGACCATTATGGCATCTGCTTCCATTTACACACTTGCTACATCAGTAACTAGTGCAAATGTTATTCCACTGCAAAAATACACACCTCAAAGCACAATATATTTTAAAACTTTTAAAATAGGTATTGAGTAAGAGATGCTACTATTGTATTTCAGTAAATTGCTGATAAATACTGGGTAACTTCTTGTTAGAACAGTGTTTATCACAGCAGTAGGGTATTTTCTCATAGCTTAGTGTGAAAAAGCACTCTAGAAACAAGGAACTGCGCATTACTTAGGGGTAAGCAGGGAAAGAACACCTTTCACATTCGCTGCTTTCTCTACGCACAAATTATTACAAGGTTGTAGGCCACTGCCTGCAAGCTGCTCTCCCTCTTTTGAAGACCAGGTTAGTAGCTACTGCTACATGTTCTTTCAGGGTTCCCCTGTTATCCTGTAGCTGAAAGGAGTGCAATCACCAAAGATATTTTTTCCAAACAGTTCCTAAACTGGCCTGTTTGGCTCGATGCATTGGAACAAATCAGCAGATGATGGCTGCTGCAAAAGTTTTCCAGAGACCAGATTTTAGGTACTGCAACTGTAAATTAGTGCAGTGTCAGAGAGGCTGACAATTTTGCCCTTTAACACTACATGGCTTGCAGTAGATTAATCTACAAAATATTAAGTCAAATACCAAGACTGTACAGTTTATGTAAATGTGTGAATAGAAGTGAAAAACCAGCTTAGAAATACCTTATACTGTTTTTTTTTTTTTCCTGAAGTGTTCCCCACCTTATAGATATCAGCAGAAGAATGTTTTACAGACTTTGCTGAGGATCTGTTTCTGAAGTATTCTAACATTTTCTGACTGCATTCAGGGAACAGGATTTGAGGTCCTTATTCTGTTGTATAACCCAAATCCAACTTCATAGGATTTTAGAATCAACATCATTATTATTTCTCTTCTTTCCTCTTTTCCCTTAATTTCTTGTTTCTTAATTCAGCCAGGAAAGAGATTCAGTCTTCCTCTTTCCAAATTTCATCTGCTATACTCAGTTCTTTTGGGTAATTATAGGCTTAACATAAACTGATCCTTAAATTTTCAGTGATTCTGTTGTAGCTGCATACCACAGTGGTGAACTCTCAAAGACTATTTTGCTTACAATGAGTGGAGGGTACTGAAGTTCACTCATCTCTTTCAGTATTTAGTATCCCTCTCCCATATTGGACAAGGCAGACTTTTATAGTAAATTTTGTTGCCTTCATCTGCATGCATGAAGATGTCTCCCCCCGAAGTGCATTATTTCAAGTGGCAGCATATTGGAAACCAGAATGATTTAAATAAGAAAACTTTCCACTGAATAGGAGGCTATTTCACCTATTTTTCGTTTGATATTTAGGGCTGAGTTTTAATCCCATTTATATCAGCAGTGAACTCACTGAAATCAGTGGAACTGTGGTAGCATAAAACCTGAGCAAGTGAGATAAGAATATTTGGATATGCCTTGAGAATCAGGAGTGCTCAATCCTATGGCCCTTGGACAAAAAGCATTTTGCCAGATTATGAAAAAGGTGCTTACTTTTCACATGACGAGCTCCTCCCACCTCCCCTACACATTACTAGTGGCTGTTCCTGGTTGGTGTGCGTACAAAATAAATAATGATGTCGAAGCATTAGTGATTCATTAAAAGACTCTGAAGTGCACTGCTAATAAGCAATGTCCATATCGGATGGAATTTTAGAAAGAGACCAAGTGCTGCATCCTCATTTGTTATAAGGCCAAACTGGGTTCATCTGGAAACACAAAAGGACCATGAAGTGGGTGCAGTAAATTCCCGTTTAAACTAGCACAGTTTTGCAGTCTCCTTCTATTTGTTGTGATGTGTAATTTGCACTGATGCCAATATTATACAAGGGCTACAGCGCTAGTCTTACAGTCTGAGACAATGGAGCCAAAGCGAATAGCAGAGTACTGCATGGGACAGGGGTTGTGCACGCAGTGTGTAACAACAAATGCTGCACCACAGCTTGGTGCCCTAACACTACATCAGGACCCTCAGGTGCTTTTCTCTTGTCGCGTCCTCATGTTTGTTGTATTATCAAGGACAAGGCCAGATTAGGAAAGCAAATTAAAATAGCACAAGTGATGTTCTCTGTTTAACAAAACTCTTGCTGTTGTTCGTTACACTGATAAAGAGTAAGACACATTGGTTAAGGGTCTTAAGAAAAGATTTCTTAGAGTTAGTACTTGAGACTTCAGTGCAGGATGATCTACTGGCGGGATGAAGCTGCAGCACCCTGGAGCAACCTTCTGTCAGCATGACAACATACACCTGAATGTTTTGAGGTCTGGCGGATGTACAGTCGTGATGGGGTTTGTTATGTTGATTACATTTTAGAAATAGGCAACTATATGGGAAAGAAGTACTGAAATGGCTTTGAAATTGCAGCAAATATGAAGCAGACTAATCATACATACACCATAGATTTGGAATATAGCTATATAAATAGCCTATATAGGCTATATATAAACTATAAACGCCTTCTGGCATTCTCTTATACATAAGCAAAGTAACCTAGAAGGCCTTGAGGGCACATCAAGATAGTGCACATATCACCTGTTTTAATAAGATGCCAATCCTTATCTATCAGTC